GTATTTGTTTTTAGGGTTTAGGGGTTAGAACTAAGACTAAAGACTGGTTTCACTGGAAGACTCGGAGACGTCAGAAGACTCGAAGCGTTAGAAGACTCGAAGAGTTAGAAGACTCGAAGAGTTAGAAGACTCGGAAGAGTTAGAAGACTGAAGCGATTTTGAATTGTTTTAATTTAATTTTTTTTACAAACAAGACAAAATACAATCCTTGACCACTGCCCAGAGATTGTTCGAGATTTTAATCAGCAGTTGTGAGGCGCATAACAAGACCGTTCCATCTTGAATATTTTAAAACTCATACATACCGCGATTCCGGGTTGCTGCGTGGAGTTTAAAGTCCAAAGTTGGATGAGTATACAATTGCTAAGGTATAGTTATGATTATTGATCGAGCGTAGGGATTTGTGAATTACCTGCGCTCTTCCCAGATTCCTAAAAAATTTGATCAACAGATACATAAGTACCTTCTACCTTGACTACGTCATTGCTGCGTGAAATTTAACGTTCAAAGATGAATGTTTATATCACTGATGAACAGATGATTCTCAGAATTCTACAGCTTCCACCAAATGAATGAGTTATGTCCGGTAGAAATACTGGGAGCCAGTACCGGAATGTGATATTTACTGGGCAAATTGCGACAACTTAGAATTACGAACTGTGTCTTCTGTTTAATCCTAGTGGTGGTGAACTCATGGATAGTGCTAAATCTACAAGACCATTCCGATCACGATTACACATTCGAATTGTTCCGAATCTTGAACAAAATGGGCAATCATGGGGCACTAGACACCAACGTAGTGCTTGTGCTCTAGATCTATAAATAGAGGGCATTCTGTAGGAAAAACTATCAAATCAAGAACAGCAATACAAATCAGATCCTGTTGCCATCAATCGAACCTAAATCATAATGAAATTATCTATGATTGTACCTCTTATGGCCTACATGGCGGTCACACACGCCATGGAGACCACAGGCAATGCTCCCGTACCTCACACCCATGAACCATCCAATAACGATGAATATAACACTCAGTTTCTGATAGACTACCTGAATGAGCAATCCGGAGGCGGCATTGATATTCATCGACGTGAGGTGGGAAGTAGTCGAGCAAGAAGGGCGCCTATCGGGTGCTCCAGCAGTGCCATCGGTGGCAGTTGCTCCAATTGCAACGGCGGCGGATGCAGCGCTTTTAGATGCAGTGCATTCACTCAATGGTCGTGTCCCTCAGGTTACACCCACTGCGGATCCGAGATATGCCAGGGAGGATTGTGTGCTGGCAAGTATTGGTGTGACAAGAACTAAGTAATACGCTTTGGAGCAAGAGGGAGGTGTATAAGTTAGACGATGATCTATTCGGTGTTTGTTCGGCCCGTACACGCATCACACTTGTTTTGCCTGCTACTGCATATGGGTACCACTGGTATCAATTTCTTAAGGCTGTTTTTTATGTTTTCCTACCTTTGCGGGGAAAAGAGGTGAACATTAAGGTGGAATACATAATAAACAGTTATCAGATGTAGTCAAAACTTTATATGAAAAGTTACTTTGAAATTGATGCACATAGCCTCTCTGACTCACTAGTGAGCATCTTCTAACATGCTACATGTAGCTAAACGTCCTCTTGTATCGAACTTCCTGAGATGGGCTCAAGCATTTAAATCTTTATTAATATCCCCGCTCCTTCCAAATTCACATTTTATAGTGCCCTTAATATCGAACTTCCTGAGATTGGCTCAGGCGTCTAAATCTTTATTCTTCCCCACTACCTGCATTAGATAAACATATATCGTTTACAATTGCAACTATGTTTCGAAATTTAGATAAACTTATATCGTTTACAATTGCAACTATGTTTTCTTTATGATGTATATTCTTTATAAGCTGCAAGGTACAAATGAATCATGAATACGAACGACTATAAAATTGACGTTTTTACGTATCCGTTGGTGTTTCGATGATGTGGTCTGACGGTGACTATACGAATTTCAGTATTCTATTTTCTCACTAATCTTATAGATTACATTTCTCTCACCGATGTACGACAAATCCAACCGATTGTGCTTGTATGAGGCATGGATAAGATGCTACAGGCACATATGAGGGATCCTGAAAACAAACACGCCGCAAAACTCGACAGTGCCACATTAATATATGAAGGATACGAATACACCACAGTCTTGTGTGATTTTGCCGTATGTCGTTTGTATTCAGCTTTTTGTTTAGACTTTCGCCAAGTGTGCAATTTAAAGAATATACTTCAATTTTGTTGCGAATAATGTAAAATTGTGTTACCTATACCTAGGTGTAGACACATACGCCTTTCTATAATAGATACTTGGCTCACATCATACTATATTTATTGCAACATGCAGATTTTAATTTTTATATAAATATTTGCTTGTATTACATCCGCTACCAAACCGAATGGCGCATGCGTGACATTTTTTCTGTTCCTTTATATATTCGATGTTGGAATTTGTGCAATAATTCATAATCAAGTAGTGTTCGACCGGTATACAAATTAAATTAACTTTGCTAAATATTAATATCGGTATATATTACTATAAACTTCCCTGGGATTCTCGGTATATCCAGCTTCCTGTTAAAAACCGGTCATTTTCTCAGTTATATCGTTTTCCCAAGCTATATGCTATCTTCCGTGAACTCTCCAAATACACTGCCAAGGCAGATATGTAAAAGTGTTCCGAAAATTATAGTTTTCCTATCTAGACTTTATTTATTTCTCGAATCAATCGAGTTGGTATTTCCCATTACACCACTATAGGCACATATGGGATACCGTTACTATTACAAGTGTTCATGCCTTGCAGTAGACTATATTCTTATCTAAATTTTATCTCAGCCCAAAATGAGTTCATTTGAGTTCTCTAACTCAGCACCCCTAAGCCGTACAACCCTAACCCCAAGAGTGCTACCAAGGATATCTGCATGTAGTTTCCAGATGTTGTATAATGTGTGCACCGTGCCTTGGACTACATTCAATTCAGGATGTTTTTTTTGGGTCTCTTTGAACCCTAAACCCTATAACCTTAAGCCCTGTATAAAACAAACAATGAACCCTATTCGGATGTTATACTTGCGTTTGGGGATACCTATAAGTCATTTCAGGATGTTTGGCTTCGTAATTGGCGATGTTCTTCTCGGCGTGTGGCAACCAACTTTTGGCCGTAGTCAGTTGCAGATCAAAGGCATTGCCCATACCTCGCAAGAGAATGGACACCCGACCCGCCATCACTAAATCATCCACTGCGCAAACGGACAAACAAATTCGAGTTCAGATTTGTCCCAGAATTTTGTCGATTTGGCCTTGAAACATTCAAAATCGGGAAAGGGTCTGATCCCTGATCTCTATATTTTACCCAAAAGTATAGAAAGTAGACCTAAACTGGTCAGGCTACTGTGGGCTCGAATGTATTTGCATCTCTCTTAAAAACAAGTAACAAAAGAAGTGATCAACATCGACACCTGCGGATGAGGTCCAGAAGACCACCCGGTCCGGCCACACCCAACAGAAAAATTTTACTTTGGGACAGTCCTATTCCCTTTCATGAGGTTCTACCTAGGGTTATAGACCCTGGTCCAGAGAAATATACACAAACCAATCCCGCTTATAGTACAAGAGAAATACACAAACCAATCTCGACTATAGTATAAAAGCCTACCTGTCTGTACGATGGGGTCACGTTTCTCCATGCCTTCCATAAACAGCTGCAGATTCGCGTATTCGCCAATCACGTCTTCGGTGTCTCTGTCATGGAAGACTGTGGAAAAAGATAAAGATATTGGATATAGAATCAATATA